TAAACTCTATTTCCAAGAAAGCTATTACATGTGGTGGCAACTAGAAACCCACACAATAAAGCATCTTTGAAAGACGTACTGATAGAAAAGAATGGTGTTTTGAAACACAAATAGCAGTTGGTTGCATCAAAACATTTTAACTTGCAGGCTTTATTAAGACTAAGGAAAGTTTGATTGTCTTTGTTAATCACCTTCCCGCCCTCCTCTGTCAGGATCAGCTGCAGAACAAACCTTCCCCTGCCAGCATCTCAGGATGCATGAGACCTCATTAAACATCATTTTTAAATGAACATTTCCTTTAAGAGAGATTAATTTTTAAAGTACGCTACTGCTTGAAAACAGACCTGCAAAATTATACAGTTGCTGAAGAATACATTCACCTCCTAATTCACCAGTATTTAGATAAAAATAAGTCCAAGTGATGCTACTAACGAGGTTTTGAGAGTCTACTTGATAATTTACCAGCTCACAAAGGGACGTTGCCAAGTGGCCGACCCCTTTCCCATAGGACGTGCAAACTAGCTTTGGGCCAGTAGAGAGCCGAACATACGTCATCTTCCCAGTCACACCAGCTCTGGAAAGAATAAATTGAACCTGAATCTGCTTTTAATCCTCTTCTACAGACGAGGCCACGTCCCTCACAGGCAGCATCTCCAAGACAAAGTCCTGGCATCATGGCCTCGATCTCAGGGGAGTAGATGCTCAAACCAGCATGTTCCCCAACTGGTGGAGACCTCCTTCACAGCACACTCCTCTCCCAGATCCTACCCACTGCTATTTTCAAAGGCCTTATCCAGTTTCACCTTAAAATACTTTGCAGGTAGTTGTTGGGGTGTTCTGGGTGTCTGAATTAGTCATGCCAGGCAGGAACCAGCCCTTTTGTATGGCTTCCTACCATCATCACTGAGTTAGCACGGGAGGAGAAAAAAACCACTGCTATTTTGTAAACAGAGAACAAAACCCCGTTTTTACATAAAGTTTGGCTTGGCCTTATAGAAAATTTTGGACTGATCAATTTTTTTTTAATCAACAATTAATTTGTTACTGGAAAAATGGTCGTTTCTACTTGAGAGAAGGTGAGGTTTCTGTCTTTCGCATGCACAAAATCATGTGCTTCAAGGCGAATTTGAGAAGATGGCTCTTCCCACCTGGATGCCCATTATCTGATGGCAGGTTTCCTCTACAGAGCAAATTGGACCTCTCTGAGACGAAAAGGACCAATAAATTCAAGGTAATTCTCCTCAAAGGAATGGGCTGTGGACTCTGTTGTGTCTCCAGCCGACTCCATGGAGACTGAAACCTATCAGTCGCATCAATGCGAATAACTGCTTTAACAGTGCATCAAGAAATAGAATGTGTTAGAGGACTGGGGGAAAGAAATTCCGAGTTACTAGGACAGCTTCTTTTCTCCTGTGCTAATACAACTGTGCTCCCTCTTGCAGGACTGATGCCTGTCAGGGGCTTTAATTTAAGCCAACTCTTCAGCAGAAGCCTGGAGTACGGACGGAAATTCTGTAACTTTGCTGAAGTCTCACCGAAGTTGATGAGATTCAGGCACTATCTTCGGGCACGACAAATACTAAAACGTACACGGAATTGGATTTCACTTGTTATCAGTTTAAAGTGTTCTTGTTTGGTTTTTTTCAGCGTGGACTGCATAATTAGAAACACAGGTGCATTCACTGTGCTATATGTTGCTTCTCAATTTAAAAAGCCAATTAAAAACTACTGATAGAAAGTGAAACAATTACTTGCTGTTTAATTGGTTTTACTAAGAGTCATTTTAAATTGATACATGTTTTTGGGGAATCCATTAATTCATTTTAATTACACAATACAAATATTTGTATGTTAAGCAAGCACCCATAAAAGGAATCTAGGAAGGGAATAACAGTATTATCAGTTATTAAACATCACTACAAGTCATTTGTGGAATGGACAGTCTGTCACTATTCTAATCGTATCAGTCACTAATGATTGGCCGTTATAAATAAGATTTTCCCTTCTATGATACTACCTTGAATATTTGTTGTACAGACTAACAATTAAAATACTTTATTTGTGACTCAGAGCATAATTCTACCCTACCAAAGTCAAGACTCCAATGTATTTTTCCATGGTCAACACCTACACAGTTACAACTCACCCGCAAAGTGGAGGTGAGTAGTCCTGACAAGCATGTGTCAGAAACATTCTGTGCTCCACTCAGAAAAGCAAAACTTGGCCCGAGAGACGCTGTTTATCAGCAATGCTGTGCAGCACTTGGGCTACGGAAATGCCCCAGCAGCTTTCCTTGAGCTCTTACGGGTGGTGCTGGCAACCAAAAGCCATTTTTATCAGACAGTTACTCGCAGTTTATGATCACATATTAGCTGCATACGTAGTGGCATTATCTCTCTCTTGTGCAGGATTCACAGAGAATGCCATTAAGTCGGTCCTCCAGCGCTCTCAGGTAAAACGGCCACATTTCAAGCCTGATTCTCGGCACGTTCCTTACTTACACAGATTCCCTTGAGTTTACCGCAGGAGAAAGGCAACCTAGATTTGGTCATTAAATTGAGATTCTTTTCGCTCATCTTATTCACACAGTCAAAAAGGTATTTGTATCATTTTTCTTTACAATGGAAGGAATAAAATTAGCTGCATAACAAGTGCCCACGATCATGAACTATATAAAGCAGTGCATTTATTTTGAATTCCAAATACGCAAAAGAAGACGGTGGATGAGGAAATCAACCTGCCAAAAAAAGAAAGGGTCCAGTTTTCCATGTATAGTACAGATCATGTTCCTAAAATGGCTGGAGTAGTCTGAAAATACTATTCTAAGGGGAATATCCTGACAGTCCCTCTGACGCACCTGTCTTCACCGTTGACTGACTGAGATTTTAGGTACCTGCACCGAGGGGCAGCGAGCAGGGGCAGGCAGGTTCATCTCATGTAACTGCTCGATCTTTAACGCAGTTAATGGAAAACCTGAAGAATCACAGAGAGCAATCCAATCTGTCTAATGTATGCATTTCCTTCTTCCCAACAGCTATATACAAAATTTAAGTGCCTCTTGACAGCAATCCAATCCACTAAAGTTAAACGTAAGACTGATTATACTTGAGATGAGACCACAGGTCCATCTTGGGCACAGTCCTGTCTTCTAGAGCGGCCAGAGCAGGAGTCCCATTCAGCAACGATTTGCAAACAAAAGATTTTTTGAGCAAAAGAGGTTTTTCTAGATTTACTAACCCCTCAGAGGGTTTCCTTTTCATGAGAAGATGAATGCCTGCCTCTCTGTGGCTATAGGGAAGCAATAGGAAACCTCAGGTGTTGTTCTCCACTGTGGCTCCAGGTCTTCCAGCTCTCTTCATCTCTGAGTGTGCTCATCAGTCAGGTTGGCAGCAGTGGGGCTCTGCTTTTGCACACTAGATCAGGGATGAAAGAGGGTGGCCCCATGTTCTGGGCATCGAGGGCAATTGAATCGACCTCACAAGGAAATGCTCTCCCCAGGAGATGATCACACTGAGAGGACTGTGTCTTTCCTCCCAACACTGCAGGCGGGCGTACACGGCCCACGAGGCAGCCAGAGAGGAGCTCAGGTAATATCTCACTCCCACCAAACGCCTTGCACCAGCTGGGCAGGCGGAAACCCTTGCATTTTGGTCCACATGTCCTAAGATACGTCCCTGTTTTATACGAGACCATCAAAGGCTACAAAAAAATCCAAATGCAAAACAAAGGACCCAGTCCTGGCTATAAGGTTAAGGGCCCAAAGCGATTCCAAACGATGTAGGGAATTACCAAATGAAACTAGGTGCCTACCAGGTCAGACAGTCCTGGGCAGCCGACTGGACAGGATTGCAGTCTGAGACCCTGGGCAGAATGGATTCCAGCCAATATTAATAATTGCTTTACTACTGGTTAATTGAGGTTCTTTGTTTAGTATCTGCAAATTATAATTTAGGGTCTGAGGCATCTGTCATTTCCTTTCATGGAAAATTAAAGCACCTGGATGACAGTATTGCTGTTTTTCAGCTCTTGTTGAGAGGTACCAGTTTTGAGATCTCAGGGTTTGTAACATGCGTATTCCACATAGTTCAGTGTTTTGCTTGCTTTCTTCGGTCCTTTGGAAACCATCAGAACCACGAATCTACTCTGGGTGACCACCTTTCACCAGGGGGAATTGTTCATCAGTGATGCAACCAATTTTGTTTACATTAAAAAGTCTACGCCACCACTTCTCCGCTTTATTTCTGCAATAATGTAAAAGCCCAAACCAACTCAAAATTATGCAAAATACTATGACACGAAACATTTAATTACATTCTGACTTTACTGCCTTCCGACACCCTAAGTCGAAATGGGTGAACTATGAAGAACATGAAATAATTGCAATCATTATCACATAAAATGCACTGTACATGATTTTAGAGGGGTTTTGGGCTCAATCTATCTTTAGCTTAGCCCCATGGTATAAAGTCCCATTTACGCTAATTCGGAAAGGGCAACGTGGGGGGGGGGGGGTGGAGCTGGAGTATTTCATTGCTATGGTGCATGAGAAACTCCTCTGCTTCAGAAACAGCAGATATTATTCTGTTGATCTTACCTCTGGCAGAGCCTCATACAAGGCAGTGGTAAAAATTATCAATCTGGGTCCTGCTTTGCTGAATTTTAATGATTATATATGAAGATAAGAGAACTTTAATTAGTTATACCTGTGCAACGTTTTATGAGATCTACTATAAGCCTTAAGCTCAATTCATTTGCTCTTATAATCAGCTTCTTAAATAAATTTAAAAAAAACCCCTCAGCTCAGCTGTACTCTTTTATCCTTTATTTGTGCTTTGTTTAAAATTACCAGAGTTGATAAAACTGAGCGGGGTTGCTTTGCACCTTTCGGAAGATGTGTGCACATTAAGCATATTGGCAATATTTATTTATTCTGCCATCTGTCCCGCTATCCCCACATTTTCAACAGTTTGGCCTAGAGAGGGCCAAAAATCACCTGAGCATCATAAAACGAGTCCCCGGCTGTCAGCGTAACACATTGAGACCACAGCTGCTGTCCTGCTGCCTAATTTAATGAGGTTCCTAAAGTATGTGGACAAGTATTCGGGCTCTTGGTTGCCATGGCGATGGGAGCGGGTGTCAGCAGCATCCCGATCGATATGAATCAGCTCACGGCCCGTCAGCCGCGGCGAGGCGATGGCCGCGGCGCAGCAGAAGCGCCGGAGATCGTCCTCGTCGCCTGCACGGTCGAGCGGGCGAGGCCGGTGAGCAGCTCGCCAAACCGGGCTGCGGCTCAGCGTGCGGTATCTGCCGAAGGAACAAAACTCTGCACCGAGACGAATGCGCTGGGTTTCGCTCTCGCTGCCCGGTCTCTTATTATTTTGTAAACCTCTAATCCCCCTCCGAACTCGATCACTTCCCTCAGGTACTGGGAGAAACTCGGTCCGTACCACGTTCCTGGAAGGAAAAGGATTCTTCCGTGATTGACTCCAACACCTCTGAATTTCCCATCACTTTTCACAGCGTGTGGCTACACTAGAGTAGTGACATTCAGCACCCACATTGCTGAGGCCCAGTGCTTTTTCACCAAGTCATTTCACCTGTTTTCACAAGACAAACACTCATGCGCAACCTGTGTTTCGCCCAGATGTTTCCTCACCCAGACTAAGAACTGAAAACCAGAGCAGCAACCCAGAGGCAGGGAGCAAACACGTCATGCCAGATAATTCAGCAAGGATTCCCTCACATTTCCACCACAGCAGACAGGCACAGACTTTCTTCCCATATTTTAAGGGCTAAAATGTTTAAGTGTTTTTTTTTTCCTGTGCAGAGACACGAAAGGGGTAGTTTAGCTATTTAAGCTTACCCACAGCACTCAAAGCTGGATGAAGGGTTGACTCAGACAATCACCTCCCAAAAAACCCACCCAAAATTAAACGCATCTTAATGACTGGTTCACATCTCAGTTTCCCACCTGACAGCCTTTCAGGATTATTCCTCAGATCCCCAGGAAGCTGCTTCTTGCCCCTTTCCCACCCCTTCTCCTGACAGGCGCATTCAGACATTATCTTTCAGCCCAGAATATTAAAGCCCAACCAGCACCATATCAGACGGATTAGTCACACATGTTTACACTGCACTGGCCATTCACCCTAGCTTGTCCTCGAGCGGATCGCAACAATAAAGCAAACAGCGACGCTGTGTAACAACCAAAGTGGGTAATCAAGAGCTCTGAACAAAGACAGAGAGGAAATTAAAGTGTTTGGGGCTCAAGTAGCACAGAAAGCAGCGTAAGGTGACATCGCAGCTGGTACCAACCGACATTTAAGAAAGTATCACGTTAGGTCTCAAAAAAATGGTATAAACATTTTGTAAGGGTAGGTAGAAAAGCACAACACCATAATGACAAAACTTGAATCCCTCTGGGAATCACCTCAGAAAATAGGTTCCACATCTTAACTAAAGAATCTCCCCAGATAATGCACTCCTCTCCATATGAAAAAGCATCAATAATCAGACCTGTTCTTGACATGGTATTTTGGCATTCATTAAACTCTCTGCATCCAGAGAGGGAAAACAAATTCCAAAGGAATTCACACGGGGGGTAGGAATTTCCTTCTGTAAAAACTAATAACATCATTTTTGCTACAGTTCTGAGCAGATGTTCCGGCTTAAGACACTCACCAAAATGAAGCTCGCAGTGCTAAGCCCTTAGGAACTAGGTTGCACAAGCGAGGCACTCCGGACAGCAAGCTACACGTCACTTCGTGGTACGTCACTCGTTTCAGCTGGGCAACGCAAACACGGCAGACAACGCCTACGCACCGTGATTTACAGCTAGCAGTTTATTTTATGCAATTTGTCACAGCGACAGGTTATCATCAGGGATTTCTTGCAGACTAGATTTCTTCATTAAAGTGCTAACGTCTTCAAAGACAGAGAGTTGTTTTGTAAACTTTCATGTCCAATTTTCCCATGGCAGCTAGGGCAGCCAGCGGCTGTCTACAACTTGTAGTATTGTTTCAGTTAAGGGAATTTATGACTTGGAGCCAATCCAAACCATGCTGCTCTGGTGCTAGCTGCCAGTCCTGGTTAGTCCTCCCAGTCATAGCAAGTGGAGATAAAAAGCAAAGGCATGTCCAATGCTTCCCTCCAGTGAGGAGTGAAGCATTTCAGCAGTGCACCACAATGATGCATCTCATATTGGCAAAACTTCTTTGGCAAGAAGCTGCTTCTAGTATGACATTTTGTCTAGTACTTTTCAATCAAATTGGGCTTTATGGCATCTTTGTAACGTCTTTGGCTTCGTTAGATGAAGTTAGAAAAAAAGAACCTACAATTCACTTGGAAACAGTGCTGAGGGCTGGTGACATCTTACCCTGGAATCACACGGGCTTCAGTGGGTGGTTGTGAAATGCTACACTCCATACAAAACATTATTTCACTGTGCCCAGGCGTGTTTGCAACCCAAGCAGAGGACCTGGCTCCACCAGGCAAAGTCAAGACTGGAAGAGCTCATCACAACCTGTCCATTCAAGAAGATATCTGTACTACTCAGACTGCCCAGCCTATCAAAATCGTGTTGCCTCTACCTGACAGCTTGTGTAGTATCTTCGCGATGGCCAATCCTCCTTTAAACAGGAAACAAAACCAATGGAGCTGAACCTCTTCTCATTGCAAAGGCTATAAAGTCTGTTTTACTGAACTCTGGGGAATTCGATTCAAGGTTCAGAACAGGCTTGAAGGAAAAGGTAGCATATTGCTAAGAAAAATTGACTCAGCTGCCCAAGGGCAGTCCAACGAAGAATTACAGTGTTGTCCAAGGCATTCAGCATACTACAGAGGCAGACAGGTAGCAAAGCACTATCAACTGACCTGCTCATTGTATTTCGTATTGCACTACAAGTCTTTCCTTCCGCTAGGAACCTCTCACCTGGGTTAAACCTCTCAGACCAACCAGACCAGAGCATCTACTGGGATGGCAGCAGAAAAATCCTGTAACTGGGCATGAGGATGAATGGATCAAAGCCACCCCTGAAAACCTAATGCTGTTATCTCCATTGACACCACCAGATGTCTTAAGTCTTAAAACTTTATAGTATAATCCTACTCAGTTATTTCCACAGTGGTAACTTCCAACACACAGCATTTCTCTAAAGCTGAGTGGTCCAGAAAATTCTGGTTTGGGATCATTTTTTTCTTTCTATTTCATGGAATATACAAAAACTTTTTTAAAAAGTTTTTAAATATTTCAGATTGAGGTTGTTCTTACAATATACAGGCACCATATTTGTTAGAGTAAATGAGAGCTCTGTTCCATCTTCTGCACAAAGATACAATTCTGACTTGTCTCCCAGTTTGGATATTAAAAGTTAACTTCAAATCCCTTCATAAAATAGATGTTTATTCTTGGGGTTTTTATTCGCATTTTTTGGCATAGTGTGATGTGTTTTATATTTACTTTTCCCCACCATAGCTATAATCTCCTCTTTAAGGCTAGTGAAGTGTTCTCTAATTTGCTTTTATTTTGCTTCATCCTCTCATTGCACCTCATAACAGAGCTTCGCAGAGCTCCTGTTCTGCCAAAAAAGTTCCTAAGGAGGCTGGACTTGCTATAAAATATGATGAAATTAGTTAAGCGATATGATTCCCCAAACACACATCACTGACATCAGTCTACATGACTCTCTATTACAGGGAAGCATCAGTCCATAATAAGACCATGTACAACAGGGAGCAATGCGATCAGAGCATGTCCTAGTGAAATACTTGTTCTTATGACGTCCATGAATATTGCTTTTAAGTGTAAAAAAAGTAATCTATTCTAGAAAGTGACTTATGAACAGAAAGGGGGAAAGAATACTCTCTGATCTCTTGAGCCGAGCTCTCAAGACATCAATGACTATGCACTCATTTATAATCTCCACTAATTTACTGGCTGCCCTAGAGACACACTTTGATCTTTGGGAAGATCTACTGTATCTATCTGCTTTGCAACAGGCAATAAAATTTGTAACCCCTTATAATAATGCGGTCTAAATAATGCAGTCATAGTATCTAGCCCCCGGTTCATCAAGGAAGATGACACCTTCCACTCTACATTCATGGCATAAATATTCATCACCAGCACGGGAAGGCTTGGCTACGTACAACAAGTTTTGCAGTAGAAGTCCTTTCTCTGCAAGAACGGGTGCTGAGAGTCTATGTGTTTAGCGTCCAGGATTACGGTCACGCTTCGAGCTCATGAGGGAAGTAAATGCAACTTGCTTCTGAAAGCTGGTTGTTTGGTTAGCCAAACTGCTGTGGTTACAGGAGACTTCTGTTACTCGGGTTTGTTCATCTATGGCATCGGGTACACACGGCAGCATCCCACCGCCACAGCTGCACAGGGACAGGTACTGCAGGAGGTACTTGGCAGGAGAAGACGAGCACATCGCAACCTCTTTGTTGAAGAACTAAGACCAGGGGCTGCAGGTACAGAGCTACCTTGGTAAAAGGAACCAGGCACCACTGGTGACCGTGACGAGCAGCTCACCCGCACGCCTGGCACCTAACCACCCTCACCTCTCCATGCACAGATCGTAGAGCTTCAGCAGCACCGGTTTCTCCTTGCCACGCCACTCTGAGATGGGAAAGAGGGCTCTTGCTGCTTTCTGCTACTCACTTCAAACCTCACACAGCAGACAGGTAGCCGTGGAGCTGGCACGCCGCTCTCTGCCACAGTGTCAATCGCCCCGCTCGTGTGCCATACCTGTCCTCCGGCCACCCGCACGCCGCGTCGGCTTAGACGGCAAGCTCGGCCGGGCAGGAGCTGCCTGCTGCTCCGTGCTTGGACAACAGCCAGCCCTCGGGCATCACCAGGAAACACGTGAAGAAAACAAACACTGGGAAACAAACCACGTTTCAGTACGGAAATGGGGTTTACTCAACACAGAAAAGTTAGCGGCTCAGGGATAAAACAGAGTAGTTCTTCAGGAGTTCACAACTAGAACACAAGAATTTAGGCGGTTTTGCTGAATGCTGTGTCCTACAGACATTGTCGGGGGACTGAGAAAAAGCAACCGCTGTTTCTCAGGGCAAGGTACAGCCAGGCTTAACATAGCTAAATATTTAGTTTTATTATTTTCTTTCATTAAAGTACAGTCCAGTGTCTAGCAATCACGAGAGGTCATGTCACGTCTCCTACAGAAAAGACCCATCGCGCGGCCTGGTACTCAGCGCAGCATCACGGGCTCCTCCGCTTCACGAGACAGGAATACTCCTCTGAAGTTTCTGCTCTCAGCAGTGGAAGGGGGATGCTCTGCACTGCTGCGAAAAACAAGTCCAGAAAACCCAAATGGAATACAAAAAAGCAAGGGCCCAGAATTGATAGACATTTTTTAATATTTTGGTCTAAATAATGAATAAGGCTTATAAACAAACACTCCTAGGATTAGCCAAGACTATGAATGTTACAAGACTGTAAAACAATGCAAATCAAAGCCAAATTTAACAGCATTATTTAGCATATGGTACAGCTAGAGGAAGGATAATAAAGTAATTGCAAGAGCTAAAAGTCTCCCATTATAGCTTCTGAACCTGTAGGTCCCTCGTACAATCTCGGCATCGCTCGTGTAGAGAACAGCAGCAGCAAAGAAATCCAGCCACCGGGGCTGCAGGAAATCCCACGGGAGGCATTTTTCTTAATTGTGTATCTAAATTTCATTTTGCTGAAATAAAATGGATTCAATGTTTTCCGCGGTTTTAGGAACGAGGCATCAAGCACCCACCAAGAACCCCAGATCTCCTCTGCGTCCACTTGCTGTAAGCCGGGGCCACTCCAGAAGAGCAACCCAACGCAGAGCAGGATTAACGACAGCCCGTTTACGTGAGCTGGGTTTTGTCACATCAGGACTGGCTTCCCAGCCCAGCGTACCTGTCTGGGAATCATCTGCTTAACGAACAGCAGAATGCCTGCACACAGTCTCTCGGCGGGATGCTTGCAGCCGTATCTGGGGCTGAAATGGACAGCAAAATGGCCACCCTCCAGCCCGT